GCATACTGAAAGAAAAACTAAGCACCTGTGTCCATTTCAAAAACATCTGCGGAACTAAAAGTCATCAAACTCAAGGTGAATATGGTGGTGGCCGAAAAGAGATCCCCTGATATGATTGTAAAGCGCTTTGGGTGTACAGTAGTACATATGAAAGACCTATATAAATGCCTCATTCATTCATCAATGAGCCATTTCTGTTCTTGCCTTGATCTAAACAAAAATATTTCAGCTTAATCTTTTCTAGATCTGTGTCAGGTAAAAGCATGCCATATTTCTTGTCCTCCTCCTTCTCCATTAACATACTGAACAGAAACCTGTCAGTATGATCAATCAGCACCTTGAATACATACAGCCCAAAATGTCTCCTCCTCAGCCTGGTCCACCATTATCCGTGTCATTTCACTGCCCCTGAATCTCATCTTGTTTCATCCAACAGCTGCTATACACATCTCTGCACCTCTCCACTTCACAGACACAGCATCACAATACCTGTCTTATCACTAGAGACCTCCCCGGGGGGAAAGCAAGGCCCACACTGGCTTGATTTTCAGCCATTGTTAGTTTACATGTGTCAATAGCGTTTTACGGACATGTCTTTGATTGGATATCAGAGATGAATGAATCAAGAGAAGCCGTGATCCCACACAGTGTCAGCGAGCTCACGTTAAGCCATCAGGTGAATTGTCTATGGAAACGAGGGAAGTCTTGCAGGGATTTCCGTGGTAACTGTACAGGACCGCAGTTGTAGTTAGACCGAAATATCCGTGGTTACGGTAACCGTGGAGATGGGTGAAAGGGAAGACTTGGCTTCCTGTGGAATGGCTGATTAGAACAGGATGCCACTGAGTGCTACACTTTCTGTGTCAACGTTTCCTCTTTTTATGCTAACATTTCCAGCATTCTTGTTAAAGAAAGTCGCTTCTGTTTCCCTACTGTTTCATAGAAACACTCTCCTTTTTATTTTCCTCCTTCCATTGCTCCTTTACTACCACTTGGCCTCAGCTGTATAACACTGAGGTGCCGTTTACACAAAATGCTTTCAAAAATGTTTGTTAGACAGGCATGTTTGACTATTGCACTCACGTCTATTGCTGCGTCTTGCTGTCAACATTATTCTAAATTAACACGACTCTCAAGTTAATATGGAATCCCAATTTTAGCCATATAAATGATTTGGTAAATCATTAAGATATAAAAGGTCATAATTATTTAATAAAAATAACTAAATCCTAAGACAACATCAAAAAGACATTATTATAGAATAAAAAATCATTATGAAATCAGATTTTTTTGTTATAATTGACTGTCATAATTATGAAACTTGAATGAAAATGACGACATTGTTGATTAATTTTGTCATTATTGTTACATCTCATACTTTTGTCTTTCTGTCAATTTCTTAGTATCGCATTTTGACATATTATCTCATACTTGTTTAATATAACAATTTTGACAATTTTTGTCAATTCTGATTTCTCACACCTATAACATATGACTTAACTTAAAATTTACTTAAAGGGTTAGTTCACCCAAAAATGAAAATTCTGTCAGTATTTACTCACCCTCATGCTGTTCCAACCCCGTAAGACCTTCGTTAATCTTCGGAACACGAATTAAGATATTTTTGATGAAATTTGAGAGCTGGATCACTCCTGCATACTGGTCCATTATAGGCTTCTTGAGGAACCGAAACTTGCCGACCTCGAAAAGTTATTAAAGACAAACCCTTAACTTTATCAAGCGACGAGAAAACGTTTTGTGCGCAAAAACAAACAAAAATAACGACTTTATTTCAACTATTCACTTCCTTCTCTATGGGCCTCTAGTCAGTTAACGTAGTGTGATAGCGTAGAGCTACGTCACACGTAGGCTGTGTGATGCGTGTGACGTACAACAACAGATCATACGCTGTTAAACTAGTAACCTGACTCGAGGCAGAGAGAGAAGTATATGAATACAGTAGTTGAAATAAAGTCGTTATTTTTGTTGTTTTTTTGCGCACAAAAAGTATTCTCAACGCTTGATAAAGTTAAGATTGAGCCACTGAAGTCACATGGACTATTTTAACGATGTCTTTAGAAACTTTGAGGCCAGCAAGTTTTAGTTCCTCAAGAAGCCTTTAATGGACCAGTATGCAGGAGTGATCCAGCTCTCAGATTTCATCAAAAATATCTTAATTTGTGTTCCGAAGATGAATGAATGTCTTACGGGGTTGGAAAACATGAGGGTGAGTAAATACTGAAAGAATTTTCATTTTTGGGTGAACTATCCCTTTAAAACAGGGCTTTAATTATAAAATACCGAACTTGTCCTTTAATGAACTTTTTGAAGAGTCAAAGTGGTAGTTGCATAGTGGCCTATGGAAGGACAGAAAGCTTTTAGATTTTATTAAAAAAATGTATTCATTTGTGTTCTGAAGATGACCGAATGTCTTACAGGGTTGGAACAACATGAGGGTGAGTAAATACTGACAGAATTTTCATTTTTGGGTGAACTAACCCTTTAAAATTTAGTTATATTATAATAATTTTGACTTTTTAAATTTATCTCACAATTAAGATTTATCAAAGCATCATATGTGCCGGAAAACGGCTTCCATAAGTAAAAAGAAGAAAAAAAAACGTGTCTCTAGACCTTGTTTATTTTTGTCATTCCACTGACCAGTGTCCAACATCATGTGTTTTTAAAATAAAAAAATGTTTTCAGTACTGTAAACAGCCCTAACGCAGGAATAGCTATGTGTAAGACATGGTGGGCTGCTTTATTTGGGTCTGAATGTCGGAGCAACTGTGGTGTCCCACGTGCTTTCTCCATCTGACCCCAAGCACCCAAACTGCGTCTGAGGTCTAATGTAAATTAGAATGGCCTTTATCAATAGCGAGCCAGTCTAACCTCTGGGGAGTCGGGGGAGAGGGGAGCAATGTAATCTCTTTCAAACACCAGCCTATGATCTCGTTAAAGACTAATTGATGTTCTGTGTTAACGAGCTTTACCTTAATTAGTCACATTTAAGTGAACGGAGGATACTGAGAGGGAGTTGGATACAGTTTGGGGCATGCTGGACACATCAACACAGCTATGTGAACCAAAAAAAAGGAGAGGAAAGTAATCAGATGAAGAGACTGATACAGAAACGCTGAAGAGAGGGATCCAACAGGAAAAAAAAGACATGTTAAAAAAGCTGCAATACTCTAGAGGCAGAAAACCCACGAGGGAATGATAGAGGATAGAGAGCAAAGGTAAAGGAGAAGATAAAGAATCAATGCACTGAAACAGAAAAACGAGAAAGAGAAATGCAAACGTTGATTCAAGCTGCTCTAATCTTTCTGTCTGAGCCCTCCAACCATGTTCAGTCTCAGATATTCAATTCCTCTTCTTGCTTTCTTCCTCTCCTTCATTTCCTCCTCTCACTCCCTCATTCTGTTTGCACTGTATTTCTCTTTTCCCCATCCTTCACAGTATTTCTGTCTAAGAGTCTTCTCCTCCCCATCCAGCTTCATCTGTATCCACACCTCTGCTACATCCTCCTCTTCAGTGCATTATAGTCTCACACCTTTTTTCATTCTATACTCTTTCATTCTTTCACTCTTCCTCCTTCTTTATAAGTGCACTCCCCCTCCCTCTACAGTAAAGCCTGGAAAGCAGCTGCAAGACAGACCACTGGAGTGAAGCTATATTGACACTGAAGGCAACACATTAACATTACTGTGCGCATTACAGTACTGCAGTGTGTGTGTGTGTGTGTGTGTGTGTGGTCCTTGATGATTTGCGTGCCCAGTATCCACAACATGCCTTGTTCAATAAATGTGCTTTTTTTGGAGGTCATAATCTTTTCTCAGCTTTAGCAGATACTCTATACTGTATGTGAAAAAAAAGTCTCAAGATAGCAAATCAGTACATCGTGAAGCTTATGAAAGGTCACATAGCACAACAAGCTGCTAGTACACACTAAAACATATCATTGAACTAAAATGTTTTCTGGTATGATGTATGCCAGTGCTGATCTCAGGCCTGTCTTGGTGTACATTAAGACCTCACATTCCCTCTGCAGGACTCCAGGCTCCATCTTAACAGCTTTAATAAGTTTGGCGCAAGGAGGGAGTAAAACTTATTACAGAATATGAAGCAGAAGCCCCACATAAATGATTTTACTTCATCTAAACGCCAACGGTTTGATTCATATCGCAGGAGGAAAACTGTGGGCCTATGATGGGCTCATATGAAATTAACATAATGAGCGCTGCTCATAAATCTCACTGATTTCTTACCCAACTATTAAAAAGCAAATGGCCAGACTTTGAAAAACGACAGCAATTTGTCTATTGAGATATTTCGATTCTCTCTTCGTCTTCCAATTTAAATTATTATAGAAAAATGCTCGAAAATAAATAGGATATGCTATATGTAAATAAGCTCGCATGGCACTGAAACACCAAGAATACCAAACACACACTGAGAGACACTGAAACAGTGCTCAGTAAAATTGATAAATCCGCAGTTTACATACACATCTGGAGACGAGCTGCCTGACAGCGCGGCGCATCGACAGGATCATTAGCCGCACCGAAGCAGCATTTTAAACACGTTTCAATATTCAGTTGCTTCACAGTTGTTGTTTTTATGAAAATCACTAATTGTGACCGCAGACTGCGCGTGTCTCAGTGCCGTTTCCAGGCGCGTGCGTTTTCGCGTGTTGCTGTAACCTCTGCGCGTATCAATGCAGTGAGTGAGCAAGAAAAGTCTAAGTATGTGCCGTTTCACTGAGGAACAAGTGGGCTTATGAGCACTGGCATATGTGCGCGCGTGCAGCAATGACAGAAGGGTCAAACCCCAGCGCGCGCCGGCCGTATCCATCTATCTTCGCGTGCCATCCATCTTTTCCAGTAGCCTTACGTTACCCTCACCCGGAGCCACCGGTGCACTGTCAATGCCATGTCTCCTCGCTCCACGCAGTCAAGTCCGTGCAAAAACACAGCAGTATTCATTAAACTGTTACTTACTGTATTTTCACGCGCCTGTCCCCCCTCTCTCCTTTCGGCCCTCCATTCTCTTCACATCATTCCCCTCGAGGTATCCTTTTTGCGGCTTCTCTGGGAGAAATACACCTAGAAATATAAATATTCTACATGTATTCAATTTTCGCGAGCTCTCTCTCTCCACCTATCTCCCGCTCCCTCCTCTCCCTCTCTCTCTCTCGCTCCTCTCTCTCTCTCTCCGCTCTTTTGTTAAAATTCAGTATATGCGCCTCGTCACCTAGCAACCGTCAACCGTCAACCTCCCTCTCTCAAGCGCGCGCGCGCCTCCCGCTTCTCTCTCTCCCTCGCTCTCCATCACTTGCGACACGTGTTGAATGCTAAACTTAGCGGTGTGGAATAATATTAATAACTGGGTGGCTCGAGGTCTCTTCTTCTGTCTCTCACTCTCTCTCTCTCTCCCACTCCACACACACGCTATCGCGCGCACACACATCCTCCTTTCGCTCGTGCATATCATCATGCAATATAAATATTTACTAGAGCCACTCAGTCCTCTCTTGCATGCCCCTCGCAGCCCCCGTCCGTGTCTCTCTCCCCTCCCATCATCCCGTACTGCGAATCAATGGAGCTGCGTTGCCACTTCTGCTTCTCCGAGCAAAACGGAGAGGTGTGTGTCCGTAACGCAGTCCATCCGTTTCACTAGACACGCGTGTATCCATACAGCAAAGACAGGGGGGGAATACGCACCGACCGTGAGCGCGCGCGCATGTTCTGGAGAGTGAGGTACCGTTGCTTATCCCGGGAAAATGGATGTAGCTTGAGCTGCAGTGTAAAAAAAAATATTTTTAAATATTTATTTTTTCTGTTAAGTGCTTTTATTATTTTACCAGTTAGATTTTTTACCTCTCTTTTTGTATCAGTGGTCTACTGGAAGTGGTCGATCGTCAATCGATTAATAAACCAATAACTCAATCGCCCATGATTAATACCGACACGCTGTGTTTCATTTAGTGAGCTCTGATGATAAATGGTCAATGTTTTTTTTCAGAAGGTCACTGACTGAATCGCAGCGTGACGCAGCGCTATTGATGAAATACCGTTCAGCCATTTAAAGCAGTTTCCAACTCTGTTCCTGGAGGCCCCCCAACGCTACACATTTTGGATGTCTCCCTCATCTAACACACCGATTTAAAGTCTTGAAGTAGCCTACTCTACTAATGAGCTGACGACTTTAATCAGGTGGGTTTGATTTGGGAGACATCCAAATTGAGTACTGTTGGGGGACAGGAACAGGGTTGGGAACCAGCCTTTTAAAGCATAAATTAAACTACTGATCCGTTTCCTCATCTCCACTAAATAAATCTATCAGCATCATGTCTGTGCAAGAGAATGTACTGGATATAACAGTCGAAAACAATCATTCAGTGCCTGAGTGTAATGCAATTAAAGTTAATTCATATCTGCTTCATTCTTAAAGACAAGTTATTAGTTATTAATATCAGGCCCTTAAAAGAACACAGGCCAGTTGTACGTTATATGATAAATAAGCAACTTTAAGTTCAAACACAAAATTCAAAAGATGGCTGACAGCTTGTTTCTCAGGTGCATAAGGTCTATTTGAGAAATGTACACATTGCTTTCAGTTTTGTTTACAACCATAGCCAAGTCTTCCCTTACAGTTAAAAAATATTTGTTTTGAACAAGGGCCGGTGAATATAAACAATGAGTTTTCCATTTTTTGGGTGAGCTGTCAAGTTATGTTAAAATGGAAGTAGCGACAGAACTTTCCTTCTGTCTTGTTACACATCTGATCTGAGTGTACAGATCTATCGACAACAAAAAAAAAATTATTAAATCTATGGAGAGGACTTCTATGCACCGGTTGCGAATTTGATTTTGAGAAGTGGGCGTCGCATTCAAAAGTCCTGTATACATCACTAATAGAGTTTTCATTGAAGGTCCCAATATAGCACTTTGACTAAATATTACAAAGGTAAAAAAAATGTTTTGATCTATATATCTACATAAAGATCTATAACGTGCATATGGAAAATAGAAAAATATGCTTACTGCAAGACTACATGGTGCAACATGAAGTCGAGGTTTAATTACAAACTTACCCAAATGTAAACCTTCCCAATTGAAAGGGAGTGTTCAACCAAATAAACAAGTTCTATTGTGATTTTAATGACCCTCATAATGTTTTAAACCTGTATGACTTTCTTCTGTGGAAAGGCCAATGAAATTCAAGGGCGTCATTGTTGTATTGGACCCCACTGAAAATTAAGCTGACATTTTTTTTTTTACACAGAAGAAAGAAAGCCATACAGATTTGGAACAATATGGGGGTGAGTAAATCATAACAGAATCATTATTTATTTGTTTTCATACAAATGGACTGGTTCAAATCTACCCAGGTCACAACAATGAATTTTGTGAGAGAACAAGGGAACCAGTGTAGTAGTTGTCAGGTTGCACAAACCCACATATTAATCATCAGTCTGAATCTCATTGGCCAGCGACAGATGTCAGTTGAATGGTTCGCAACATAAACTGTCAAAGTGACTGAAGCGAGGGCATGTTAACAAGTTTCATTCAGTGGAATTTATGTTCACACCCTTTTCACCCTCTTTCTCTCTCTCAGTCTCACTCTATGTATATGTGTCCTGTTTGGGTTACAGCTCAGAGCACAACAGATGAGTAAACATTGATAGTCACACGTAAATCCCATCAAATCAGATTGGGGAATGCAAAGGCTACGCTCCCTCCTGCCCTCGCTCTCAGTTCCTCTTTTTCTCTCTCCGTAGGCGTTTCTTTCATTCTATCTTCGACTCCTCGCAAAGTCTGATTAGAGTTGATAAAGAAAAATTCCATTTAATTAAGTAAATAGTAGATTGAGGAATTGAGCAGCAGTCCCAGAGACACACACTGGGCCTCATAGGAAGGTTCGTACAGGCCTTGGGATAATACGGACTACGACATGGCATCTGGCATTAGTGTCGGATAAAACAAGCAGACGTGAGGGAGAAGCGCAGAAGAAACTAATAGGAGAACTAAAGAGAGACTGCCTGAGGGAAGATGGAGAGAGTGAGAGCCCTTTTCAGCAGTGCCACACAGACTTGCCTTTCGCACTGGGAGACCTCGACGACGATTGAATTTCTTCTCAGTCCTCGCTGTAATAGAAAATAACCAAGTACTTTCGCGCAATAGCTGTCAGCGACCTTCTGAGAAGAATAGGGCTAATCCTTTACGGTGCCCTCGCAGAACGGCTCAGTTCAAATCCACTACATTTCATTTCTTGAATAAATTTTGTTCCTCTTAAAAGGTGCCCTAGAATTTGAAATTGAATTTATCTAGGCATAGTTAAATAACAAGAGTTCAGTACAAGGACATGACATACAGTGACTCTCAAACACCTTTGTTTTCTCCTCATTTAAATGTCATTTTTGAAAACACCCCGAATATCCACAGAACACCGACTGTGACCCAACAGTCGGGATCATTAATATGTAACACCCCCATAAATTTGCATATCCCAGCCCATGTTCAATGCCAGACAGACCTGCGCAGCCAGATCATCGGAAGTTTCATTTAGTTTCTATTTAAACGTCATCGTTATATCATTTACACACAATTTCAGAAGGAACAATATGGTCATATGCAGGTCTCGGGAAATGGGGAACCCCAGAGAAGCTACTAAAGGCTTTTAGGCGGGGGCCCAATAACATAAGCATACAACATATAATATACAAGTTCTGCAGGTGAAGAAACAAGCGAGGATCATGGGGGAAATGGCAGATCATGGAAATATATGTTCCAGGCTGTGCAGGAGATGAGGACTTTTCATACCCTTCCCACAGAAAAGAAATGTCAACAGGCGTGGTTAATCGGATACCCCAGTTTAATTCGAATTTGTCCTTTGCTCTGCCCATTTCACCATGGACTTATTTTCTAACTTGGGACAATATCAAGCAGGCTTCTCTCAGTGTCTCATACTAAAGATTCAATTTCAACTATATTCCTGCAAGCGGTAAGTAGTGATTTTTTTATTGATAATTTGCACGTCATTGTCTAGATCCAGCGCAAGATCCTAGTACAGTAACAAATAGCAAACTCCAAATAACGAGCATAACTAAATAGTATTCCAAAGTATTTATGGTGAGGTTAATATTTCTTGCCTGTGTTGTCAATTGTCACGTAAATCTACAAAATAATACCGTAGATACATATGCAAATACCCTTTTGTCAAATAATTTTACTTTCATCTATTTCATCAACACATCAGAGGCTAACAAGTTGAAGCTATTTATTTGACAAGGTTTAAATAAATAGCTTCTAACGTTTTTTAAATTTTGAAAATTGACGTATGATTATTTTGCACGCTTTTAATTCAGAGTCCACCACAGTCCTTGCGTACTAATGATAGGCTGCCAAACAGATGATCCTATCATCTTGTGTAAGGGGGAACACAGCTGTCTTTGAACACAATGAGGTTCAAATGAAACAGCCAATCGGAGCAGAACTCCTCATTACTATTCATGTTACTATCCAATTTCTAGAGTTGAAAAAGGACCTGTAAAACCATATCTGGACATTTCAAATGCCCTTAAATAAGCCACATACCCTCTAGTTATATGTTGAAATTTATTTCAACACATTCTAGGGCACCATTAAAGATAATTTTCCCCCCTCTCACAGTAAGACTGAACTCTGGGCCTTTGTTAAAGGGTTAGTTCACCCAAAAATGAAAATTAAGTCATTAATTACTCACCCCCATGTGGTACCAACCCCGTAAGACCTTCGTTCATCTTCGGAACACAAATGAAGATATTTTTGATTAAATTTGAGAGCTGGATAACTCCTCCATAGGCTTCCTAAGGGACTAGCACTTGACGGCCCATAAAGTCATTAAAGAAAATGTTTAAATATTCCATGTGCCTACCAGTGGCGGTTCTACTTTGAATTACACCCAGGGCGAGACCCCCTTCGAGCGCCTCCCTGAAAAAAAAAATACTTTGCATATTATAGGCTACTGTAAAAACTCATAAATAAAGTTGATTTTAGTTGATCATTATGAAAAGTATTAAATAATATAGAATATAGTGACCAAAACGATCACAGAATCTTGTTCAAAAAGCCTAATACACAGTGTCAATTCACCAAGTTAATAACATTAAAGGTTTGTTTTAAAGGAGTGTCTTTCATCTTACCTACTAAACTTTAAAAA